CCTTACCTCCTTCAGTTTGGGCACTAAGCTGTAAGGATGCAGGCTGGAAGGGAGCAGAGAGGGGAGTGTTCAAAGATGAAATGAACAAATATCGGAGGCTTTGATGTTTCTTGGCAGGCTTCGGGCTGACAATCCGATGATCTGAGAGCAGGGACCTTCTCATTCTCTCTTTTTTCTCTCTCGCTCTTTCTGGTCCATCCTGGCCCCAGTTGTCTCGCCCTCCAGTGACAAACACTTTAATATGACAAGGTTAAACACCTGAAGCGCTGCAGTGAAATGTCACAGCCAAGCCAGGGTCGGTGGAGCAGCTTTAATTTGTTAAGGAGCTTATACGACTGTTAAACAGCCAGTCTTCAAAGCAAGCTGCTGCAGCCAAAGCCTTTACATCACGTTCTGAAAGGATTTTATTGTGAGTAACCTGCAAAGAATCTTCACAATCTGTGTTCCTCCTCAACTATTTGGAGCCTCCTTTAAACTTGTTGTTGCTTTCCAGGTTCTCACACCCACTGCTATTTTCAGACGCATCAAGAACATTTATTTCCACCCAAATGTATTCTAATAAACAAGCTGCATGTGCCAAACCTTCTCTGGCACCAGGTCTCAGACGTGAAGTAAATAAGCTGCTCATTAGGTGTGAGGCTGTTCTGTAAGAGGGGATGGAGGCGTAGGACAAAGACTACAAAGGTGCTGCGTGTTTTTAAAGATGTCCCAGAAAAAAGCTTCAAGGCGAGGAACACAAAAGGCTGATTAGTGTTTTCACATGATTTATTATTGCCATCCATCTTTGTCTTTGTTTGAATAATGTCTCTGAAACTACCGGATAGATTTTAATGACACTTTCAAAATATATTCATCACAACTGATTAACATTTGGAGTCGAGCTCATTTCAAGATGGCCGCCACAGCTAAACGACTTTCAAAAGAGTGTCTGAAATAACGCCGTTCAGAAATTTAACATGAGCGGCTGAAAATCAAACCGCATCAAAACACATCCTCTGATGTGCTAGCTGCACATTTTAAATATTCAACCAATGATTCCATCAATTTGATCATTAAATTCTTTAAGTTTAAAACTTGAGCATGAAAGGCAGAAAAGCAATGAGCAGTCAGTCATTTGAGGGATTGGTTTTATTGTAATGCGTAGTCTCTTCTTGTTTCTGTTAGTGCAGGTTAAAGAGGACACATTATGACCTTTCTCTGAAAATAAAATAGTTTCACTGTCGACACAGAACATGTTTATCAAGTTCTAACTCCCTCTCACGTGACGTGATTTCAGAAGCTTTATTCTTGACAGTTTCAGTACCTTCCAGAATGAGCCCTTTCAGGGCTCTGTCACTTTAAGAAGACAAGCTGGAACTGGCCACACCCATACATCCCCCATTCATGCTGCTATGAGCTGAGAAGCTCCAATATTTGGGAGGGGATTGTAACAGAGCCACTGCTCCTACAGCAACAGCTCTCTCTTGCACGTGAGAGGTGGATCTATTCTACTTTCCTCATTTGTGATGTCACAAATAGTAATTTTTTGAAACGTTTCGTATAGGCGCACATAATTCCTAAAACAGAACACAGACAGACAACAGATGGATGGGTTTTGTTCTCATTTTGAGTGTTTGATTGTTTGGTGACTTTTGCATACATGTCCTCTTTAAAAATAGAATGTCTGAAAATGCGTATTTGTTAGACATTTTATTTTTGCTGGTTTTTATGTGTGAGCAAACATCCTATCATGGAGATTTACACATGCAAAAAAAAAACATTTACGTTCAAGACAAGTCAAGTAAGACCCTTCCTAAAACCTGAGCTCTGATTAAACTCGCTTGTTTTGATATCCTTTTGCCAAGTTTTCCTCTCTCTGAGCGACACCCGATAGGCAGCACGGTAGAGCCGAGTCCTGTGGGGCCATTGTGTCTCATTGTAGGTCACAATGGAACTTAACACTTGACAGAGTCAGGCCTTGTTGTCAGGAGCTGAACTTGATCCTGTCAAGTTGTTCTCATTGAAGAGTTATAAAGAAAGGGCTTTGACCTCTCTGCTTTGAATGCTCAGCCAAACATTTATTCTCTGATAAAATAACATCAGCATATCACCCGTTGTTCTGCTGTAATCGTTGTCGCTTAGCTGAGAATCGGCTTGGATGATTAAGTTTCCTGTTAGTCAGAAAATCTCACAAGACCTTTTTTTTTAATATGTATATTTTTTACGCCTTGTCACTTAACCCTGGAAACAAAACAGAGCTGACCCATCCTGCTGCATCCTTCAAAGTGTTTTCAACCTGTGGCACCCCTAAGCAACGCCCGTCCTGCACACTGTTGCCCCGCAGACCACAAAAGGGGGTTCACGTTACCAGAGGGGCAGGTAATTTTAGCTGGATAATCCTCGGACCTGGTAAACCGGTCTTTAAAACCTGGCAACCTCGAGCCATGTGTCACTGTGTGTGTGTGATTCCCTTGGGCAAATCATTGTTTAGCATTCCCATCTCCACCTGTCAGCTCCTCCAAAGGGAGAAATTCAACCTCCCAAAATTGCAATTTTATCCTTTTTTGCTTGTTTGTTTTAAATGTCTGCATCAAGTGAAATACACTGCTCAGCCATAAAAAAGGTCATACTCTCTAATATTCCATTGGACCACCTTTAGCTGTGATTGAAGCACACATTCGCTGTGGCGGTGTTTCAATAAGCTCCTGCAACGTCACCAAATTTATTTCCATCCAGTGTTGCATCAATGTTTCACCAAGATCTTGCATTGATGATGGTAGAGTCTGACTGCTGCGCAAAGCCTTCTCCAGCACATCCCAAAGACTCTCAACGGGGTTAAGATCTGGACTCTGTGGTGGCTGTGGTGATGAATCCTGGCATTGTCATCTTGGAATATGCTGGTGCCATCAGGGAAGATGGAATAACCTGGTCATTCAGTATACTCAGGTAGTCAGCTGATCTCATTCTTGGAGCACATCCTGTTACTGAACCCAGACCTGACCAACTGCAGCAACCCCAGATCATAACACTGCCCCCACAGGCTTGTACAGTAGGAACTAGGCATGATGGGTGCATCACTTCATCTGCCTCTCTTCTTACCCTGATGCACCATCACTCTGGAACAGGGTCCATCTGGACTCACCAGACCAGTTTTAATAATGTGTTTGAACAGTTCTTAACCCAGTTTTAGTTGTTTCTGCATCTCCTTAGATGTTTTCTCTGCTTGATGCCAACAATCTGACCCTTCTCACACAGATTAACATCTTTTCCATGACCCCCAGATGTCATTTTCCTCATGGTTGTTTAAAAAATGAGAAACAACTCATTGCACCAGTTGGGTTTAAATAACTTGTCACAGCTGAAAGATGGTCACCTATGCAGTAATTATCCAATAGGAGGCTCCTACCTGTTTGCTTAGTTAAATCCAGGTGGTGACTTTTTTTTTTTAGCCGGGCAGTGTGTGTGTGTGTGTGTGTGTGTGTGTGTGTGTGTGTGTGTGTGTGTGTGTGTGTGTGTTTAGTGTGCCTCTATGAGCAGTTGGAGTGGTTTTTATTGTCTCCAGACAGGATTTACAACTCGAGGACAATGCTTGCAGTTTTATTGTCGTCGCATGAAGACTTGGGCCTGTTCTTGGTTTTGTCGGTGTATTTCCTGCAGGAATGCAGCAGTAAATCTGAACTGAAGTTCTTAAACTGAAAGTCAGCCATTTGTGATGCCCCTCCTCCAGATGTTTGTGACCTCAATTAAACTCCAGTGCCACCTTGCAGCCATCAGCAGGGCAGGATTTTCACATGTTGTCCAGTGCCACCCCCACTCTTCCTTCATCCCCAGCCTCTCCTGGCACCAGGAGGAAGATTTACAGTGGAAAACTATTGCATGTTATTTTTTTCCTGCTGAGCCTGGAATGTGTGTTTGGGCAGAATTTTTTTCTCTTTTGCGAGGAGTGTGAAAAACAACAGAGCTGTAAACACCAAGGGTTTAGACCCAGACTGGTTCTTTGTTCCAGATGTGCAGCAGGCTGTTAGTGCAGAGCTGTGATGAACTCTGAGCCCTGCTGCCTGCATGTCCATCAGCTGATCTGTTCCCAGCTGAATAAGCAGCAGTCCAGACTCCTGGATTAGGAAGTAAATAAAATACATAAATTCTGGAATTTAGTTGTGTGAACATCGCTTCCCTCAGTGACTCATTTTATGTCAGAAATCATGCGTGACATCAGGTTTTGACACGACAATTTGACGCTTAAAAGGGCTCCAGATTATTGGTATTGTTTGTGTTTTTTCCAGTCCTCCATTCAGCCAATCAGAGATTAGTTTAAATACGTTACAGTGGGATATTTACAGGTCCCAGTGATTTATCTATCTATCTATCTATCTATCTATCTATCTATCTATCTATCTATCTATCTATCTATCTATCTATCTATCATCTATCTATCTATCTATCTATCTATCTATCTATCTATCTATCATCTATCTATCTATCTATCTATCTATCTATCTATCTATCTATCTATCTATCTATCATCTATCTATCATCTATCTGTCTATCTTTTATTGTTGTATTTAATATTTTTTTTTATCATTTTAATCATTATTACTATCAGCAAAAGCATTATTTGTAATTTTAATGCAAATGTTTTCTTGCTTTTACTAAATATATTATTTAATTATTTAATTTAAAATTGTATAAAATTAATTAATGAATTAATTAAAAAAATTCAAATAATTTACTATATGAAGTCGTCAAATAGCAAATTATTGGTTAAAGTAAAATTTTAAGCAAATTAAAACGATGTGTGTGTGTGTGTGTGTGTGTGTGTGTGTGGGGTATTAATGATTTAAGAACACAGCAAAAATATTACATACAAAACTTTTTATTTGTTGTACAAGTTGATTATTCTAATTCAACTTTATAAAATAATTTAACAAGATATTAAAATGAAAAATATGCCCTCCATAATTTAAAACTATAACTAAAATTATAAATGTATCATATAAAAAATCACAATCAAAAGTTGACATTACAGTGTAAAGTTTTCAGTTTTATTTCACTTCAGGAAGACAAATATAGACATGACATTTTTATAAAGTGCTTTAATCATGTTATATATTTAATTTGACTCTCAGCTCTAATTTGAGTTTTTATAAATGTACAACTATTAAATATAACTCAGTTATAAAACAATATTATGACTCTGCTCCTCAAATTACAGAATGAACTCAGCCATAAACATTCATGGTCACAACTAATCCGTTAAACTGGTGCTTATTTACTTTACTATTCAGTCAGTAAAACATCAGTCCTCAGTGAGCCAGCAGCCTGTTGTCACATGACTCTGATGTCATCACGTCAAACCTTTCTCTTGCAACATGGTTGCACTTGAGCAAAGAGGCTCTGGCCATGGTGATGAGAGTGCTCCAGCGTGAAGGTGCCTGGAGGAAAGATTAGGGCCCGATCTTCCTCCGCTCCTCCTCTGTGCTCCCTTCATCTTCGCCTGCAGCGGGAAACAGTCATAGAAAAATGTTAGTCCCTTTGTTGGCGTTGGCTTAGTTGATGCCAAAGGACTGACAACCGCCTTGTTTGGTGTGTTTCACTGACAGATGTCTTTTATCCTAAACTGAAAAAACTTGCTCAACATGGACTCTCGCATCCTAACAGGATTGGATCAGTTTGTTTTTACTTTCAATCCTTCATATTTCTGGTGGGTTGTGCGTTTTCTGCTCGTATCAAACCACACCTCAGCTTCAGGACCAACACATGAACCTGGACATGGGTCATGGTGAGCTCAGCCTCTGATAATGAATCCTCTCACCCTGACTGCTCTCTGGGAGTCCCAGACCCGGGCTCCAGCCCCAGCAACAGAACACTTGTAGAACATGACGTGCCAGAAGGCGAAGATCACAGCTGTGGCCGTTGCATGGGAATGTGCTCTTAGTTTGTACACAAAGAATGCTGTCACTCTGCATCAAAGCAGCCTGATGGACTAACGACTGGTGTGTGTGTGTGTGTGTGTGTGTGTGTGTGTGTGTGTGTGTGTGTGTGTGTGTGTGTGTGTGTGTGTGTGTGTGTGTGTGTGTGTGTGTGTGTGTGTGTGTGTGTGTGTGTGTGTGTGTGTGTGTGTTCTGAGCATGCCTCTGCCAAACACACCTCTGCAGAGCTAGTGCCAACTCTGCAGACGCCAGAAAGTCTGACCTGCATTCAGGGCTGAGTCTGTTTCTCTCTCTCTCTCTCTCTCTCTCTTTTCTCGTTTTTTTTGAGCCGACTAGAAACGGGGTAACAAGGAGGACCCATCCCTGCACCGTGACTGCAGGGCTCATCTTTGTTCTTCTCCCGTAATACTGACATAATTACAAGCTTTAAAGATCCTTCTCACCTAGGTTTTTTTTCCCTTCATACCTCCTCTTGCAGCTTTTTGCTCTGAGACACTCACACCCATAAAGCCAGGACTCACTCCTCAGGAGGAAGCACGAAGGCCTGCTCTCATCAAACAATTTGTTCTTTGGTCAGATGGAAACATGAAACATCACAGCAAATTTATTAGCCGTCAGAAACTCACTCCGAAACTTCTGCAGCCTCCTTTTTTGTTGTGACTGAAATTGTACAGTGATAATAATTTGTGGCTTTGTTCTGCTCCACTGTGACTTGTGGGGAAATTGGAATCGTTCCCTCTCCTCCTCTCTGGCAGACCATTCCTTAATGCCACCAGATAGTTGCAGACAGAAGTACAGGACATGACCAAAATGACGGGGTTGCACGGCAGCTCAAGCCACTTAAACACTCTGTTTGCAATTTCACAGCCGCTCATAAGTGTGATTTCTCTGAAGATGAAATGTCAAATGTGTGTTCAACTCTGCATCCAGTAGCTGTGGTGACTTCTTTAAATGCTGTGCTATTTTTTATTTCCCACTTCTGCAGAATAAATAAACAAAAAGTAGAAATTAGCCATTAGGCAACAATGTGCACTAAAATCTTTCATTTTAGTTTCTTGGTGTATTCAGTTAGAAAGTTAGTTGGCAGAGCAGACATAAACGGAGCGATTTAGTAGCCGTGGTGACTTTATAATAGTTTTTATCCAGCTTGCTGCACATCCTGCCTCCTAATAACTCTAATTAAAAATGGTTGATCTGGAATGAGGAAAACCAGATCAACCTGAACTTGAATAGAACTTAGTTTTTGTCCTGAGATGACTTTCTAAATTAGTTGTCACCAAACACTTGAAACGGCACTAAGTACAAACCTGAAAGAAACAGTTATGGTCTGCAAGATATTTGAAATATGCTGAATAAATGTATTCATAGTGGTTTGTTATAGTGTCTTAAAATTATAATATTTAAATGTTAATATTTTTATGAACATTTTATTAATTCGTCATATTAACAGAAAATATAACAACACATAAATAATTAATTTAAAAATAAATAATTTATTTAATATATTAATAAATTTCTTAGTAAATATTAATACATTTCCGATTTCGTGAAATGTGGTATAAAATGTTATACATACATACATACATACATACATACATATATATATATATATATATATATATATATATATATATATATATATATATATATATATATATATATATATATATATATATATACTTTTAAGAGTAAATTTGAAAGGAAAGACATTTAGGAGGATATTGTTGGATATTAAATAGGATTCGACGTCTGAGTGATTTTTTTACTTGTTATTTCTAACTTGATCCTCCTTAATAATAAAAACCAAATGTTATATTTTATATTATATTGTTCTTATGTGTCTCTCTGTATATGTTGGTATATTTGTGTACAAATACTGACACTATATGTATTTATTGTCTGATCCACAGCAGGAGGAGGCGCCTCCTCTCCTCTTTAATGAGGTTAACGGAGGCGCTCCAGTGACAGCCGGCTCCTGAGCACCAATCAGAACCTCGGCTGATGGAAGGCTGCGTGTTTGAGCCTATGCAGGCAGCAGCTCTGTGAACAACCTTGTCAGCTCCTCTGCTGATGTCAACCGGGACACCTTTCGCTTTTGCCTCTCCTCCCGGACACCTGCGAACATGGTCTGCGTGACTCCTCGCTGCAGGGGATTCCTGATCCCGAACACAGCTCTGGATCTGAACGCGGATTTGTTCCGGTTTTCCTTTGATTTCTGACATGAATCCTTCAGAGCGACGGCTTTATGGACTTAGCTAATGATGTCTATGGGTTTTGTGCCTGACACACTGAATGGCTCCGATCCCTCCAAATCGGCCTTTCTAGAATTTGGCCACGGATATCCGGCCCACCAGCAGCACTCCCCGGGACTCTCACACATTTACCCCGTGCATGGCTTGCACGCAGCCGGGCATTCCCAGCACGAAAGTGCCTTTCCTGGCAACTCGTCCTACGGCTCCTCGTTGGGATACGCCTACCCAGGCGCTGTGAACGCTCACCCCCAGTCCGCTTATATGTCCTACCACCAGCACAGCAGCCACAGCAGCAGCTTGTCCCACAGCAGATTAGAGCGGACAGGTAACTAACCTCTCCACTTTGGCGCGTCATTACGCACAGGACGCGCGTAATTGATAGAACATATTGAGACAAATTAGATTCTATGTTACGCCTTAAAATGAAATAAACATCTATTATTAACCTTCTTCTAAGATGTGTGGCAAAATGTGCTTTTCCTCTCAACCGCTGGAGAAAAACGCCACGTTTAATATAAGAATCCCGCGCTGTCCTTCTCTTTCTGTAACAGTCATGGCCTCTGTGATCTGGGCCTGACGCGCTTTGACCGGCTCTGTTGGAGCTCGTTAACCGTCACAGTTGTGAACAAAATCAATAATGTTAAGCCTGCAGGGAGCTCGTTTATCACAGATTGGAAGCAGAAAAGATTTATTTTTTACTTTCAATAAAAACTTTTAGTACCTGAAGTAATCACAGCTGCATGTTCATGTCTGATTTATGGAACTCACTGTGTGTGTGTGTGTGTGTGTGTGTGTGTGTGTGTGTGTGTGTGTGTGTGTGTGTGTGTGTGTGTGTGTGTGTGTGTGTGTGTGTGTGTGTGTGTGTGTGTGTGTGTGTGTGTGTGTGTGTGTGAAAGATCGTGACAAGTCCACGGTGACTGAGAGTCGGGACATTCGGATAGTGAATGGCAAAGGGAAAAAGATCCGGAAGCCTCGGACCATCTACTCCAGTCTGCAGCTGCAGGCTCTGCACCAGCGCTTCCAGCAGACCCAGTATCTGGCATTACCGGAGCGCGCAGACCTGGCGGCCAAGCTGGGGCTCACGCAGACTCAGGTGAGCTGATGATCAGAATGAAGGTGTAAAATATCAGCCTGAAATGACTTATTATTATTATTATTATTATTATTATTATTATTATTATTATTATTATTATTATTATTATTATTATTATTATTATTATTATTATCTGAAAGAGGCCAGAAGGTCACGCTGACGGAGGAGAAGGGAAGCTTTAGTCCGAGGATCATGGAGCTTCAGCAGAAAGTCAGGCCTAATCCTTTAATGCGGCTCTTGTTTGCTTAACTTCTGCGGAGGATGAACTTGATCTTTTTTAGGTCTTAAATTAATATTTAAGCCATTTAAAAAGCAGCAGAACAACAGAAAAGTAACGTGAAAGGTTTAACCCTCTGCTCGTTTTTAATTTTAGGTCATCAGTGAGTTTAGTGATTTTTTGGGGAGATTTGAACGTGAGATTAAAAGCTGCACGTGCACGCGCGTTCTGAAGAGACGCAGGTGCCAGGTGCACGTGTCAGACGATCATCCCTGGGCCTCCAGGTGTCCTCCCTGCTTGTATTTTTGTCTTCATCATTTTGCTCAACTTTCAGTGTTGAAGCGTGATGAAGCGGCGTGAGTTTCAGGAGCTGACCCGCCTGCAGCTCCAGTCCAGGCAACAAACTTCTAAAATGAAGGATTTTTATTTTTCTGGTGTTAAAGAAAGTATTTCCACTTTTACTTTCACACACCTGCGCAGATTGTAAATCCGTAAATTAACAGCACATCTAACCTAAAGTCATTATATAATAAATGTATAATAAAATAAAGTCAAATGCGAATAATTGAAATAAGATCAAATAAAAAAACCTGACCATATTTATCTTCACATAATAATAATAATAATAATAATAATAATAATAATAATAATAATAGACATTTATTTTCAGATTTAAACCAAACTATAAAAATGTATTAAAGTTATTGTGTAAAGGATCAAAAGGGCCAGATATTTGATCTCAACTCAGACTACGCGGCGGAAGTGCCCTACCAAAATAAAAGAGGGGTGCTGGTGTGGGTCCGTTTAGATCCGTTTCATGTGCAGAAAGAAACCAGAACAGTGATGGACTCTCTCTAATAAACGATTTGTTTCCCCTGCTTGTTTTGACAGTGACGATTAGTTTTTTTAATCTTATATTTCTATTTGAATTAAATTGTATTTTAATTATTTTAAAATTTTAAACCATTTTGTTTGAATGCATAGTTAAATATTTAGTTAGAAAGTTGGAATTTCCTAAAATATCCTAAATGTGACTAAAAATGAGCAAAAGAAAATCCGCATCATGAGGAGCTGAATGGGACTAAAATGTTTAAGGCACCGCTGAACTGACAGAAGGCTTCTGATTTGTTTTTATTCGGTGATACTTTGAGCCATCTCTGTCACGCGCTAATGATAAAAGGAGCACGAGAGCCCAATTTGAATTGATTACAAGTGTCACTCAGCAGCATGTTGTTTTTGAAGTAACCCGTTGTGCGCGTTCCCTCTCCTCCACAGGTGAAGATCTGGTTCCAGAACAAGCGCTCCAAGTACAAGAAGATCATGAAGCACGGCAGCGTCTCATCTGAGGGAGACCACCTCCACAGCACCAGCTCCGTGTCCCCCTGCTCCCCAGCTTTGCCCCAGCTCTGGGAGGTCTCCAAAGGCGCCCCGATGCATCCGAACAGTTACATGAACTCTATCGGTCACTGGTATCCGAACCACCACCACCCTCACCAGCAGGACGCCGTGCTGAGGCCTCAGCTGATGTGAGTGGAATGCTTTCTCCAACTTTTCAGGACTCCCACAAATGCCTCCTCTTCCTCCCTTCTCCTCCTAACACGGAGCTGAACTCCTTTAGAGTGTTTCAAAGACTTATGTCCTGTTTTTTCTGTATTTTGCGTTTGGAATTGAGTTTTTACAGCGACGTTCAACCAAATGGATTTTTAAGGCTTTGTCTCTGCAGCTCACGGCCGCTGGAATGTGGATTTGTGTTTGCAGCTTTCAAAGGAGAATCTGTATAAAGAGGCTTTTTTGGAAATCTACTGTGTGCTTGGATTTGTTCTTTCTTTTAGATTTGGTGTCACGTTTGCTCATCCAACATCTGATTTAGTTGCTTATATTAATGTATTTTTTTATTATTTTTGAAGGAAACGCTATAAAAACAATGTCATGATTAATGAGTCAGCAAGACTCCGCGGGGCTTGTAGCTTTTATGATTCTTTTAGATCTAATCGTTTCTTGAAGATTTATAACAAAAAATTCTAAATGCACCCAGAAAGAAATTTTAATATCAAACAAAAATAAAATGAATATGATTTTAAAATACCCATCTAAACAAAGATAAAATCGTTCCTGTATAGATTTTTTATTCATTCAGCATTTCCAGCTCATGCAGGTGAAACGAGGAGATCTTAATGCTACTTTTACGCAAATTGGATGCAGCTTTTACGCACGTCACAATTTGACTAAACCTGCTTTTCAAACTAGATAAATTCTTTTTTTTCTTTTCCAAACTGCTGGAAGACAGAATCCATCTTGTTTTTTTCTCTAGTGAGTCATTTAGTGAGAGCGGAATGATATTTTCCCCAATAACAAAAATCACCGCTGTCATATTTTGACGAATGAGCGTGCCATCCCCGCGCCTGCGTTTACACACCGGTTCGCTGTGAGCAGTGCTGTTTAATCACACAAAATTAGACTATTTATATCTTTGCAAACATTCATCAGAGGCTGATTAAACGAGGAGCTGATTTCTGATTAATGGAGCTGAAAAGTGCTTTAAAGAAGCAGCCAGTGACTTTCTTTGTGCCTTTCATCCATCACACTTGCCTTTTGCGGCTCTCTGGCAAACATTTTCTCTGATGTTGCAAAAGAAGATTTGAAAAACGTAACTAAAGCAGCAGATTTCTCTGGGATATATCCTTATTAAAATGCAGAAGCTTGTTTTTAAACATCTCAAATATCCCAATGAATGCCTTATTACAGGCAAAAAAATAAAAAAATAAAAAATAAAACAAAGTGCACTCCTGCTGCCTTTCCCTCCCAGCCTGCTCGTCAGTGCTTACCTCCTCACAGCAGTGCAGCCTTGTTTCCGGAGCTCTGATCCTCTCAGTGTTGTCCCAGTGAAGAACAAAGCCTCAGCACATCTCTGCGTTTTCACCCCTCCAAGCTGATTTTACTCACATTGTGATATTTTAACATCTCCTTCTATTTATACACACAAACCTCATGCCCTTTTTCCTCATTCCTGGTGATTACACGTGTCTTGTTAAACTGCTGAAGAAGATGTGAGCACTGCAAGTGACGGAGGGGCATCAGGGAAAATTACAGGCAATTTCACATCTCTAGATTAGAATAATGGCTGGTGGAGTTGGACAGAGAAGACGGGGACCAATTACCACATAGGCGGATTGAGGGGAAAGTGAAAACGCTCCTTTTGTAGCAGACAAGCTGGGAGAGGGAGGGGAGGGTGGGTGATGGGTTGAAGGGTAACGATAATGGCAGGTCTGACTGTATCAATGATGTGAATGGTCCGGGGGTTATCAGATACGAGGTGTCTGATGGGATTTAATTGCAGGATAGCAATAAGAGGGGAAAATAGCTTGCTATTAAATCCCAGTTGCTGTGAATGGGTGAAAAGCAGTCAGGTCTCTGGGGTGATTATTGTTATTAACTTGAGGGAGCTGACATGTCGGGTAATTGTAAGCAGCTTCCCCGTTAGAGAGGGATGATTTACAGAAAACAGAGCTTTTGGGGGCCATGGCATTAAAACAGAGGAGGAAGTAGAACTAAGGTTGTTTCAAGATTCCAACACCGGCTTTGTTTTGATTCTTAGACTAAGTCAGCTGTTTGCCACCAGGACAGTGCACATTAATAACAGGACACCTGTAACATACTACGATTACCCATTGGCTAGTTTCTACCTGCTGTCCTGTTGCCCTGTGATGCCCTAGTGGGGGGCAAACATCCCATCAATAACAGCAGTTATAACAAGAAGCAAATGAAAAAATATGGTACAACCTGCATACACTAAAATTAGATAGTTTTAAAGAGGAAAACCTTTAAAATTAGGCTAAATCGCGATGCAATGCGTACACTGACCATGATCAGACAATGCAGATGAGGTGACACACCTTTTTGATGGAAAGGCCACAGCATGTAGACAATGTAGACAGGTCTGGTCACTGGTAAGCGACGTTTTAGGCTTAGCGTGAAAAAGGTTTGATGTAATGATGTCTCTGATAGTTGCTGATATAGTGTTCCATTCCTGGGAGCTGATTGGCTAACATCACGTCTCCTTCTTGGTATGGTACCGGCCCTTCTGCTGAACCTGGATGAGGTCGATGTGATGGTGGAGCCCTTCTGTGTGCGATCTTCTACAGCTGACATCAGTTTACTTAATGAATGTTTTCACCTGTTTAATGAAAAAGTCACAGTGGGGAAAGTGCTTTGATTTCTTGTTAGTTACTTTTAAATTCTATAGAGACTAGCAGCATCGGTAAATAGAATCAAGAATAAGGGAAATGTTAAACCTACTGCCAGTGAGTCATCAGGATCACCATGACACATCTTCCTAACAGCAAAGTCAACAGTTGCTATGTGGAAACTGTGTCGCTTGTACCAAATAAACCTTGAGCTAAGATCTGCAGAAAGCTCTGGTGGTCCAACATGGACCTTTTTCTGTTGCAGCAGGGATCCACGTAGGGGTATTCAATTCCGGGCCTGAAGGGCCAGTATCCAGCTCGTTTTAGTTTTAACACTGTTTCAACACACCTGATTTCAATCATCAAGGAATTAACAGGTTTCTGTGGAGCCTGATGAGCTGCTGCACAGGTGATTCAACCACTGAACATGTGTTGGAGCTGAGGAACCACTAAAACGGGATGTATACCGACCCCCTATAGGACTGGAGTTCAATAACCCTGACATAGAAGTTTAAAGACCCCTCACTCAGTGACCATGGCCACCCCAGAAAACTGCTAATATTCACCTAAACCATAAATTAATTTCATGTATTCAAAACATTAATGTGAAACACATAAAAAAATGCAATTAATGAGTAAAGAAATATTCAGAATTTAAGAAAATGATGTTTCTGCTGCTCACTACTTAAAAAAAAGTTTATATCTCCATTGTCTTTTGTGAAGACAGCATCAAGTAAATAATTTTTTTTTCAAACAACAGAAATGTATTTTTCTGAAATGTTCGTTTCTCAAATTAGTAGTTAAGTGTTTAGGATACATATTATTTATTTATTTTTTAATAAACAAGAACAAAGGACGTCATGTGCCGGGGTGAGTCCTCCTCTCATTTTCCCATCTTTGAGTTGTGTGTTTCAGGAGAGGGAGGCTCCAGCTGCAGCTGATTTGCAATCAGCGGGTCTGGCTACAAAAGGAGGATGGAGAACACTCCTCGACGCCGGATGATTACTACAGCTTGGTAGTTTCTTGCCCTCTTGCGATTCTTGGATTTTGTGCTCTAGTGTTTCTTGGATGTTTTTGTGCACCTTTGGATCTTTTCCCCGTGCTTACCCGTTACCAGGTTTTGGAACGTTTTTGGACTTCTCTGGATTACGTCTCTAGTTTTCTGCGACTCCTCTGGATAACTCACCTGTGCCCCATAGGATTTCCGGACGCAGCTCTCACAGTTTTCCATTCCTCCCGGCCGGCCCGCTCTCCTCTCGCTCCCTCTCCTGGACACCCCACTTGGATTCACCCCGGCACCCAACCTACCCTCCGCTCCCCTACTCCCAGTAAGTCTATTCTCTGCACCCACCAAGTTTAGACTTACCTTCCTGGACTCACCTATTCTGCTCTCCCCTCCTCAGATGCTGCGCTCCTGTCTCCATCTCCACTGGGCTTTTCCAGTGCACCTTCAGTTCCCATTTTTAAAATAAAGATTTGTATTTTTACCATAAGATCTGAGTGTGTGATTCTGCATGTCTTGGGTTAAATGCATCCCCCAAACCATGTCAAAGGAGCAGTGCATCGCCACAGGCTAAGCTCTCCCAGAGTTCCCACAAGGGCTAATTTGGTGTGCCACCCCAAAGTTTCCTTTGGCCCCATCTGGCCACCCTTATCAAAATTTTCTGGGGACGCCCCTGCCCTCACTTCCTATTTACAAGAGCATGATTGAGCTGCAACGCCCGATTGAAGCTCAGTAGTTTTCTCTGCACTCTGAGGTGGTCTGAGAAAACTGTAGGTCCTGCAGCAGCGAGAGACAACGTGAAACATGCTATCAAGCACATTTTGGATTTAAAAATTTAGTGGTGTGTGTAACAAACAGCTTATATGCATAAGATGAAATTCTTCTAGCCATGTTCAAAAGTTAGTGACATCATTACCTACTAGCCCAAAAGAATCATAAAATAAAAACTGTAATAAAGTAAAAACAATAACGACATAACTCCTTTCATGTCCCGCTTCAACTCCATGTTTCTGCTCAGAAATCAGCCTGAGCTGTAATCCTCCAGAGAGGGAGGAGTTTTCTCACCTGCCTCAACAAAATCCCATTGTTGTCTGTGAGGACATTCCTCAGTGTTTGTCTACATCCTTCAGCATAAAAAGTCCCACACAACCTGGCTGAGTCTCACGTTTTCACCTTTCATTTGCAATTTTCCCCCCCCAAACTTGTCAGGTGTAGACAACAGTGTTGTGAACACAGAAATAGCACCGTCTTTAAATGCAGCAGGTGTGAGGCTGACAGGAAGATTGGCTTTATTGTTTTTGTAAAATGGAATAAAAAGTCGTTAATGATTTTCTCTGGAAGAGAGACGTGACAGTAGTTGTGTTTATGTTTAATAACGATATTATGACACAACAATGGAAGGAAATACCTCTTCCCTTAGATGAGAGTAATCTGGTAGTGTCTCTAAATGTTCATTTTTACCACAGCCTGGTTCTGGTTCTGGTCTGATGTGGTTTCAGCAGCCATCTATCTGAGGCCTCAGCCTGGACTTGTCCTGCCCCAGCCTGCAGGGTCAGCAAGGGTTCACAACTCTCCAGCTGTCAGGGGTGCCTTCTTCTCTTCATTTCATCCAGGTTTACAACAAACCGGAGAGCTTGAGTGATCCTAATGCTGCTGTGGCGCGGCCCGGCGCGGCCCAGCCCAGCCCGGACTGGGACTAACCACGGGGACAGCTGCTGGGAGTCTTTCTGTGGCCATGTTTCCATTCCCCCGACCTCCACCTCAACCCCGATCCCTGCACTCAAGAGACCAGTGCTGACACCCCACTGTGGCCTGTTGCATAGGGGTGGGGGTGAGGTCACAGCATTCAAGTTCAACAGTTCACCCACCCCCCACTTGTAAAAGTTTAGAGATGACATATGTGGCCATGTCTGACAGCCCACAAATGCAGCTGAACGCATGTTTGTCCTCCACACCCAGGACGGTTCACATTCAAAGGGGCCCACACATGCTGAGGGGGGCCACCAGGGAGGGGGGGGGGGGGGGGGGGGGGGGTTAGGGCATGGTGGTGTCACATGTTGGTGTGATGAGATTTCATTGATATTAAAAAGGCAATAGTGATCACACTGCTTTAGTTAAATCAGCACAGGGGTATTTACACGATGACTGATGCCTCATAGACAACTGGTGTTGAGTTCAGGGACACGTAACAAGCCGGACACCAGGGAACTGTGGGAGCCCTGACACATTACGTTGTTTCATCCTGAGAAAATGTGCTTGGAGTTTGAGAAAATGACACGTGAGACAAGGACGAGAGACAGAAAGTACACTTTAGCCTCTAATAACAAAATCCTGATTTTGCTCTTTTTCTCCAAACTCTGATAAATAATGTAAAGTTAATGCAAAATAATTGATTATAATTTCAGCTAGAGATTAAAAGACTTTAAAGGAACTGAATACTTAGATTTTTTGAAGCTGGATTTGCAACAACATGACATTAGTTCCTTAACAGGCCCAAAACATCCATCACACTACAGAAGAAATAGTAATAATTCCCATCAAATTAATCAGCAAACCCAGCACTACAAGGCCATCTAAACCATTTTACCCGTTTTTGAGGAATAGGCTTCAAAATAGGCCTGTAGGGCTTAAGGGGTTAAATACTTTTGAAAAACAATTTACTTAAAAGTGCAGCTTCGTTTTTATTTCCTGCTGTAATTTCAGATGCTTTGTAATGTTGAGCCTCTGCTTTCATAAACCTAATTTAAAAACCTGTCATCTCATAGCTGACAGGTACAACAATATTAAGAAATGTGATCCAACACTTCATCCATTTGCATTCCGTGTCTCCTGGATTCTACTTTGGGTAGAAATCAGCCACCAGATAATAATAATAATAATAATAATAATAATAATAATAATAATAATAATTATTATTATTATTATTATTATTATTATTATTATTTTAATGCACTAAATAGGAATATTTTTGGTGCTGTGAGACAGAACGGGGCTCTTGTTTTGTCACTGACACCATAAAGTTTCACCTCCACTGCAGAGTGCATACCATTCCAATTACTAGAAAGGTTATAAAAGCTCCAACCTTGTGGGTACATTCCCTCTCTGTGCGTAATGGCACCCCGGTGGTCCATGTGGACGAGATCCCCATCAGCAGTTTCTCCATCGTCTCATTACTTTTTCAGCAAATTTAATATAAAATGCTTCATGTGGTCAAACTGCCAAAAGCTCCATTTGTCAATAAAAAAATTATTTTCTCTCAGTTTTTATTCCCTTTTAGCGTTATTTCCTCATTACTGTTGTCACAACACTCCTTATCAGTTTACCACCCCTCAGCTTATTAAAATTGGTTCCCCCCCCCCCCCCCCCTCCCCCGTGTGCGTGGTTTTTGCGTGGAAGAGTAATTTTTCCTAAAAGCAAAGCGGAAAAGTGGAAATTTGTTCATCTGAGTTTTGTTTGTCAAACGTGACAAGAAAGGAAAGTTTATATTTTAGTTGAATTTTTTAAGAATAATTACGCGTCACGTCTGCGTGCGTCTGTGCGCCTTCCGCCCCCTGCGGTCACTCCTGTCTGCAAATGATTTTCTTATCTGGCAAACGGATTTAAAAAAAAGCGCGACTGACTCCAACATGTCTCACTCCAAAGGAAAAAAAAGAAATTAAAAACCAAATCAATGACGCCAAAAACAAATCTGTCACTTTAGTACAATGTTGTAAAAATAGTTATTATTGTTATATTATTATTATTACTATTGTTCTCATTATTGTTGTTGTTGTTGTTCTTCTTCTTCTTCATCTTATTATTATTATTATTCAGATTTTCTCAGTACGTTATCCTCACCATGATCACAGGGTGTGCATATAAGTGGGCACTCACATCTGTTACTTATTATTATTATTACTATTATGTTTAGGATTTTAACTCAGATTAAGTGTCAATATTACAACGTGTGATGAATTTTTCCTCAACTGAAAAAGGCATAATAAAATAACTTGTTTACCCAGAACAACTGTTTGTAACACATTGTTTCAAATATTTATTTCAGAATTTTATACTTGAATTTTCAAAGTAAAATAATTAAATTTTTAAAATGAACTTTTCTCCATTTCAAATGCAAACAGATGCTTGTTATGAACAAAATGATGGCTCATGTCTATCTTTAAACGTGAATTGAACAACTCTAAACAAGCTGAAGTCATCTGAAATATTTACATTTTTTTGGTTTCGAATTGAAAAACTTTCTTTAGGGAACATGTTTAGAAACGAGCTGCACACACAGCATTCATTTACCACCTTTATTTGTTTGACAGGAAAGTTCGACTAATTACATGAATATAAAAAAGGTCTTGATAGCACCACAGTGCAGTCTCGCCGGTCCAAACAAACATCATCATAGTGGTTCTGGATATAAACACATATTTACAACCTTCAGCATTTTTGTACAAATCCTTATAAATATGTCCTGAGTTGTTTTTTTGTTTTTGTTTTTGTCATATCTTTTCTACAAACCCTAAAGCAGGAGCTGGTTGCAGCATGGATCAATCGCACAGTTTTGTTTGTTTAAGCTACTGGTTTAAAAAAAACTTTGCATATTCATTTACAAAACAGGAGTTACATACAACAGAAGTGATAAATAATTTAAAAAAAGAACACGCCAGAAGTCCATTAAATATGTTGCCAAAAGTGATTAGAAATCCCTTTATGTGCTTTAAAGGATCCAAAACCAAATGTCTGGTGGTCCTGACCAGACAGCATGCGCTCTGGAGAGTCTCAGGGTTTTATAAAAACTGAATCATTGTCTTGTGTTAATACACGGCTCCCACGCTTTGCTGCGGGACTGGGTGGTGCACGGTGCCTGGGTGCTGTAGGTGCGATCCCTGCTGGTACCAGTGGTTGTTATAATCCTCCATGTAGGGTGGAGACGAGCTGTGCGCTGGCTGCGGGCCCTGAGGCCGGCTGATCGGGGTGTTCTGAGGGGTGCTGCTGTCCCAGACTGCGGGGGAGGGAGGGGAGTTGCAGGCCATGGAGTCGCTGGCGTTGGGACTGTGGTCCAGGGGAACCTCGCCGTTTTTGTACAGCTTCTTGAACTTGGATCTCCGGTTTTGGAACCAGATCTTTACCTAAAAACAAAAGATAAATAGTGATATTAGCCCTAATGCAACACAACAAAACGTTCCCGACATTGCTTGACAATTTCCAAACATCTGAATTGTTAACTCCTACTAAAACATGCCAAACGTTGACAGGCGGAAATCAAATCTGTTGTGCGTAATTACGCACCTGTGTGTGAATAAAAGCCTAATTATCGAGCACATTAGGGAGCTTTTGTTCACGCGACTCTTAAGAATAATGATCCAACAGATATCGGGTATTGTAGCGCGTTAAACAACATACCTGAGTCTGAGTGAGCCCGAGCTGGGCCGCCAGCTCTGCTCTCTCGGGCAGGGCGAGGTACTGCGCCTTCTGGAAGCGCCTCTGCAGAGCGGCAAGCTGGTAGCTGGAGTAGATCGTCCTCGGCTTGCGGATTTTTTTAGGCTTTCCATTTACCATGCGGACCTCGGGTTCTGGCTCCTCTTTCACTATAAATTCAGTTTAGAAATGATGAATTAATTATCCAGCTAATCTCACCGCTGATCACAACCTTAAATGCCAAGAGGCACAAAGCACAAGAAAGAAAACGGAACAACTGCGTTAAACACTCGAACGTTTAGGAGCACGATGACTTTTTAAAAAATCAGGTTACAAAACTTGCAATTAGGAAAAATACGCATAGATGTAAAAGAGCAGAGTGAAAATACAACTTCATATTTTATTATAATAAAATCGAACCAGATTTATTAGTGAAAATTGATAAATCACATAAATGTCGACTTATTCACACAAAATCAGGCTTGTTTTTAAAGAGTTGTATTTCTAGCACGGATGGTTAGGAGCAACACGTTTATGAACATTTATATTATAAAAGTATAATTCAAGTTAATTGTTTGAAAACTGTACCATGGGGTCAAGTATAACGTATTTACCTGATCCCGGAGGAGAGGCCTGCAGGTGATCTCTGCTGTAATGTCCGTACTGTCTGTAGCCGTTCGTGTAGGGGTATTCAGACTTGGTGGCGTACGCTCCAGCGGCTCCCATCCCGTTTAGATTAAACTGGTGGTGGTAAGAGTTCATAGGCTGTCCGTATGGCTGACTCTGAAAGTACTCGTGGTGGCCGTGCGCCGTCTGTCCGCTGTAGTAGCCCATGTCCGTCACCGACGACTCGGGCAGAGTCGGGGAGTCCTTGGAGTTCGGGTGGCAACTCATAGATCCAGGCAGATCGGTCATAATGCTCGCAATCTTCTTGTCATAGCTGTGTCCGGCGCTCATGGTGAAAGCAGCGCTACAGAACAAATAATGATTAGTATTTGTAGGAAAAATCCTCCCCCGCTGGAGCGCGTAAAAGGCGGAATCGCAAGACAGAACAGCTGTGCGCGCGCTCTACGTTGCGTTTTCGTGCTTGTAGTCCACTCAAACTCCTCCAGCTGCAGAATCCAACTTGTGGCATTGCTCAGCCGCTGTGGCAGAGAGTTATAGAGAAGTGGGCTGGATCCCGCCTTCTCATTGGCTGTGCTCACCCCTCTTCGCTTGTGAGCTCCGAGCGAAGTACTGATGAAACAGAGCCTTCAGCTCTGCACCCACTTCTTTTGGACTAATTCTTCTATTTTCTCAAAGTGACATTTACCTGTTGAATTTCAGCTTTTGACAACTTGGATAAATTAACATCTTAGCCCCCACCCCCCTCAAAGCTGCTGCTTTGCTCGGTGGCATCCTGGTGTTGCAACACTTGGCCGACGTGTTTTCTAAAGCCTAATCCCGCAGCCAGACCGTCTCCTTAATGTTTTATGCAATGTTTTCTTAACTGTGCCTGGAGATCACACTACATTCAGCCTATTGAGAGGCTGCCAGCCGACCTCCCTCTGGCTGCTTTTGTCATTCAAACATGTTCGCGGCCGCTGGACTTTATGTAAAAGCGATGGAGGAGATAAGTTAAAAACTAGTTCAACTGATGTGTCCTTAGGGTGAATTCCTCTGCTTGTTGTGCTTAAGTGTGCGTGCAAGTCCAAAGATGATAAATGGAAAATAAGTTAGTCTACTAATGGATTAAAAGCAGCAGTTTTAGGCTAATTTAGTTGGAAAACAATTAAAATCCCAATGCTTTTAATCTTTTCCCATCTGCAGCGAAGACCAGCTGTTGATTTGTAGATGCACAGCGCCTCCTGGTGGATTCATTAGTAAATATTTCTTCTTTTTTTCTTCATATAGTAGAAAATCAATGAAAGTTCACATATCTTCAAATCTCGGCTTTAAAATGTTCCACAAGAAAAGTGTAAGTTTCTTATTAAACTCCTTAAAACTCTTTATAAGTTTCTCATCATTTCATCCGGAGAGCTGCTTTTCTGGTATTCGTCTGCCCTCTGCTGGTTATAATCTGTAGCGCAGCGGACCCATTCCCTTGCTGTGTTTTATGCTAAGCTAAAGCTAAAGGGCAGGAGAATGACCAGGCTGGCTAAAAGATGTTTTTTCCACTTACCTAACTCTGGAACATGCGTCAGCAGACAAATTTTCAATTTTGGGTGGAATATATGGTAAATGGCCTGTATTTGATATAGCACCTTCTAGAGTTCTTGTAACCCCACAAGGTGCTTTACAACACAATCAGTCATTCACCCATTCACACACACATTCACACACTGGTGGGGATGAGCTACGATGTAGCCACAGCTGCCCTGGGGCAGCACTGACAGAGGCGAGGCTGCCGAGTACTGGCGCCACCGGTCCCTCCGACCACTACCAGCAGGCAACGTGGGTTAAGTGTCTTGCCCACGGACACGACAGCGACAGACTGAGCGGGGCTCGAACATGCAACCTTCCGATTACGGGGCGAGCACTTAACTCCTGTGCCACCGTCGCCCCAGATAATAAGGAATATCCCTTTAAAAACATTTATTTAGCAGAAAAATTGACAGGATTTACAGTATTGTGCCAAAATATGACAAAGTTACTTTGCGATGTATAAAGGCTGATATTCAGTGAACGTGTTTCTTTTTTTTAAAGACAATACAGAAAACCATTACATTCATACAACATTAAAATATTTATTAGTAATTTGGAGACTTTTGTGAGCATTAAGTCTTCATATGAGATGCATCAGATAATAATAAAAATATTTTTTAAATGCTAATATTTATTGGCTCATGATAAAATACTAATTAACATTTATCTATCGTAGTTAAATCTAACTGAATTGTTTATTTATAAAACATCTTTCCGCCCCAGTTAAGGAGGCCGACTGACAGCTAACAGATCACTCTGAACTAGAGTTCTTGAAGGGATGTAACGGTCACAAGTGAAGCAAAATATGGTTGCAGCTGCAGCCGTGATCGTGAGGACTGCATCAACCTGGCATAAAGGGAATTTCAGTAGTTCAATAGACATGATGAAAGCGTTTGTAGCAATGGCCGTGTTCGAGATGAGCCAGTTCTGCGCAGATTAGATCACCAGTGCTTGCCGGTTAGATCCAGGTTTCATGGTAGAGCATGAAATGTTAGTTGGTCACATGCACTCTGCAAATCATGTTACGTTGTTGATGACAACCATATAGTCCATGAAGAGAAATGTGATTCGTGTTCTTTTGTCACGTTTCCTATGAGCACACTAAAACTACAGCTGATAACCTTTACTTATTATTAGTCATATCTTCATTTACAATATATTATACCCGCAAGCATGTGAGGATGTGTTTCAGTTGCTAACAGGCACTGGAAATAAAATAAAAAATTAAACAAGTATGAACGCTAGTGCAATATCTTCATCCACCGTCACCCGTGAGGTGTAGGGAAATCTGTCCAACTTAAAGAGCAAGTAATGCCTCAAATAACTTTTTTTTGCTGATAACCTGTATAGATGAGTGTCTAATGGTGATGTACACATGTGTAATCATTAGTTTGGCAGTTTAGTGTATCTTACTTAAAATTTAATATTTCAGCCCAAAACCATAATTATCTCCATCTTCAGGTTAAAAATTGCTCCACATTTATGTAGAATCAGCTGTGGCTGATAGCTAAGCTGAAAAACATGACGTTGTCAGCAAATTACTGCGTGGCTGCACCGCAATGGTCTCCAGGTGAGGCAGCCGCACTTCCACCTGGCTCAGCCACTCACCTGCCGATATGACACACTGGCGCTCTGAGCCGTTTGCCGTTCTTGAAAAAAATGCCTTCCTCCCCTTTTCATCTAACGATTGCGTTTAACAGGAAATCCTCCAGAAGGCTGCAGAATCTGCGTCTGCTCTTCTCCTGAGTGGTAAGTCTACTGTGGGTGCGTGCTTGCGTGCACGCACGAGTGCGCACGCGCTCGTTAACAACTCATTTTGAGATTGAGAAACTCTGACAGCACATGTGGTGGAGGTTGAGCGGGGTGCGGTCTATCACTGCCTCAGTGCCACTCTCTCGGTCCGTCAGGCGACGCCTCTTTCAGAAGCACTTTTCTAACAGGAAGTGTGGATGAAATACCTCTCCACCCATGCATTGACCCTCTTTCTGAGACGCTGCAAGTGATTACTGACACAACAGCTCTTTTCAGAGCTACTTCAACTCAGACATCCATCTTGGACACCTAACCGGCAGACCCCGGGTTGCATCTCATGGCCTGGGAAGCTGAATTCAGAGGAAGCTACTAATCTCTGAGTATTGTGGTGTTGACGTCCGGTGACCTCACCACTCTGACCGCAACCTTCCGGACCGCCGGCAGCAACGCAGACCAGGGTATCGTAACCCTGCATACTGGTGACTGATGAGGTTTTTATCAATAACTAACTCTCTAGTTTATAACAAACAACAAATTCTTTTACACCCAGATTTCACAATTTCTCTCAGATACAAAGAGCGGTTGCTACAACATCTAGCTTCCCTCACAACACCTCACATCCACCACATCACATCTCATTATTCATATCTTGTCATGTATCATTAGTTTAGGAAAAATAATCAAATTCATTTTGTAAACTACATACTGACTCTGTCTGAATTAATATGAAGTGTGTTTATGGTCCCTGAATAAGCAAGGAACCCTAGAATCTTCTGATTAAACATTCAAAGATCAATCAGATTGATATTTCATATTTGTATGGAATATCACATGGAATATCACATCTTATTGGTCATAATTAATATGTATTAATTGCTAATATGTATTAATTGCTACATCTCTCCCGAGATGGAGTCATTGAGTTGATCAGATGCAGGAAGGCGTGACCAGGACTGAAACTGCTTAGGAATGAGATTCAAAGCTGCATTATAGGTGCTGGAAAGGTGAAATCTGAGACCCTGTCCACACGTAGCCGGGGATCTGCCAAAACGTAGATATTTTTCTACGTTTTGGCCTGTCATCCACACGAAAACGGAGTTTTTTCACACAAAAACAGATCTTTTTAAAAACTCCGACCAAAGTGAAGATCTGCGTTTTCTCCGTTTTGGGGGTCTGCGTGTGGATGGACAAAACCAGAGTTTAAGGGTCCGCAACGTCACTTTCTGCGACAAAAAAATGCTGACATCAGGTGTGCGACCTGTGTTTACACTAGCCGACAGCATGGATGCCCTCAGAGCTGCGCTCGCTTTATCAGTTGTCCAAGCGCTTTTTGTTTGTTTGTTTTTGCAAGCGGAATTACTGCTCCTTGCGGAAGACCACAGACGAAGGACGAGGTTAAGAACGGGGGAAGTACTGCCGCTTACAGGTCTGGCATGTCCTTAACAACGTATTTACCCGGGTACGTGTGGACAGAGTTTGTTTTTAAAACGAGGTGGTGTGGATGCAAGTTTTTGGAGGGGCGGATATTCGTTTTTAAAAAACCCGGCTACGTGTGGACAAGGCCTAAGACCCCGCCCCTATTAAAAGTGGGGTTTTCACATTTGACATATAACTTCCTGTACTCCTCTCGCAAACCATTTATCTTCTCTGTCCAGAATGTGGACTTTGTCATCTTCAAAGGTGTGTCCCTTGTCCTTCAGGTGCAGGTGGACTGCAGAGCCTTGACCTGAAGAGGTGGCTCTCCTGTGTTGTGCCATGTGTTTGTGTAATTGTTGTTTAGTTTCCCCGATGTAAACATCTGGACAGTCCTCACTACACTGGACTGCATAAACGACACCACTAAGCTTCTGTTTGGGTGTTTTGTCTTTTGGATGGACCAGTTTCTGTCTGAGGGTGTTGTTGGGTTTAACGTTTACCGGGATGTTGTGATTGGAGAAGATTCTGCTACGTTTCTCTGAGACTCCTGTCACATATGGGATGACGGTGCTTTTGCACCTGTTGTCCTTTTCTCTGCTAGTTGCTGTTTTGGATGCTTTCCAGACTTCTTTGTAGATTTCACAAAAGCCCAGTTAGGGTATCTGCAGTTTTGGGGAGCTTTCTTGATGTGTTTCTCTTCCTTTTTTTAAACAGTAGTTTAAAAATTACAAACATTACTTTGATTTTACAAATAAAAATTTCTAAGCAGAATCTCTGAAAAGGAGCAACAGATACATTCAGGGGTTCAAAACTTTTATAGGCTGTTCTCATGCACTTTATTTATAGGGTATGTGTTTATGTTAATACAAATGGGAAATAAAGTCATGTAAAATAAT